CGGCTTGGGCGGATTCCGATAGGGTTTGGATAGCCGAACAAATGCATCTCGGTCCGGCCAACGACCGAACACACCTAGTAACCCAAGCACTTACCTATCGGCTCGGCAACGAGCCGAAAGGCAAAAGCAGATTACAACAATGATCATGATTAGCAAGGACAAGTACATGATTAAGGCATAACCAGCCGATTAAGATCGTATTACCTAATTTGGTAAAGGTCAGAGAAGGCCCACCATGCTCAGGCCCATGTCAAGTATTATAAATAGATCACACGTAACAAGGTATGTCACTGTTCATTAATTATCCTAGAAAATCGTGCATGTGCTGACTTGAGCGTCGGAGTGCCTTTTGCAGGTACCTCCCCCCTCCGAAGAATCCACCAGAAGCATCCGTTCGACCCTTCACCACTCAGAAGACTACGAGTGTACCCTCAGACAGGTACATTTTGGCGCCCACCGTGGGGCCGAACCGATAACCATGAAGAAACCTTTTGAAGAATCATGGCAAAAACACGAAGAACTAACATGGAAGACCACCATTCCGAAGATGAGCACCGATCTGGGGTAGACAATGCCTAGACGGTAGAAGAGACAAACTTGACCGATATGGTACGCCAAATGAAGGAAGAAATGGTTGCCATGAAACAGCAACGGGAAAAAGATGCTGCCGAGATGGCTACGTTGCGAGAAGAGAACGACACCCTTAAAAACCAGTACCGGGATCCTACATGGAAACCCTCTAACACTACCCACACTCAGGGGTCGTTTCACTCGCACGGCCATCACACCTCTATCCCTCACACTTCTATTGCTGCCCCAGACGTCCATGCTTCGGTCGGCTGGCCGATACAACTAGTGCCGGCCGGAGCACACTGACACCCCTTCACCCCAAACATCATGCAATCTTCACTCCTTGACTACTGGAAGTCCTTGCCACTCGACAAGTACGATGGTACAACCGATCCAGATGAGCACGTGGATGTGTTCTTAACTCAGGTTACCCTAAGTACCACTGATGATGTCGCGTTGTGCCGAATCTTTCCAACGTCATTAAAAGGGTGAGCACTGAGCTGGTTTACTCAACTCTCGGCCAACTCTGACGACTCGTTTAGCTCATTGGCATCTCAGTTCACTATCCAGTTTGCTACGAGCCGACCCTACCAGCTGACTTCGTTGGCCTTGGTAAGCATCCGACAAGAGAAGAAGGAATCCCTTCGGGCGTTTGTGAGCCGATTTAACAAGGCAGCACTGGAGATCTGAGATCTAAACCCGGCCGTCGCCCTTCACCATCTAACCACCGCCCTAAAACCAAGACCGTTTGCCAACAGCATCTGCAAAAAACCACCAACCGACATGGATGACTTACGTCGACGCGCCGAGAAGTATATGCAGATGGAGGAACTAGCCGAATTTCGCAACCAAGCAAGGGCGGAAGCGATCGTCAAACCCGAGAAGCAGGCCGAGAACAGCTTTCGAAGCCGTCCGAAAAAGCTCCTCCCTCGAGAAATCCCCCCCGCGGGCCGAGGTACTCACAATACACGCCACTCAACTCCAACCGATCGGCTATATTGGAACAAGCGCTCGCCACCGAAGTGCTCACAATCCCAAAACGAGCATCGACCCCCCCTCGAGCTGACACAAGCAAGTCGTGCAGGTACCACCGAAACCGAGGGCATTCGACTGAAGAATGCTCGGCTCTAAAGGATAAGATCGAGGACCTAATCAAGTAGGGACAACTCCAAAACTTTGTGGACCGACATAACTCTTCTCGGGATGTTGAACGCACTCGTCACCATGAGCGAAACGATCGACAGCAGACCGAAAGGCGCCCTCACCGGGAACGCAGCCGATCGAGGGAACGAAGAGAGGAAGAACCGACACCCCAAACCCGTCGAGTCATCAACACCATAGCTGGCGGGTTTGATGGCGGTGGTACCACCTCTTCAGCTCAGAAAAGACACTTACGAGCCGTCCGAGGCATCCACGCCGTTGAGAAGGTTCACTGCAAACTACCGTCTATCACCTTCTCCGAGGCCGACTTCAAAGGCATTGATCCCAACCAAGATGACCCGATGGTTATCAGTGTCGAGATCCACAACTGTATTGTCCGAAAGACGCTCGTTGATCAAGGAAGTTCGGCAGATATTCTGTATTGGAACACTTTCAGACAGCTCGGCATTCCGGACACCGAGTTGGTTCCAACAACGAACCGTTGGTGGGGTTCTCCGGCGAGCGAGTTCACACTAAGGGGTACATCAAGCTGATTACACGGTTTTGCTTTGACGAAACCAAATACACAGACATCTCAATAAAGTTTGTCGTAGTGCATGCCAGCACATCCTACAACATCCTCCTCGGAAGAACCTCCCTGAACCGGTTAGGTGCGATCGTGTCAACCCCGCACTTGGCCATGAAGTTTCCATCAGAAACAGGCCGAATCCTCACGATCCATGCCGATCAGAAAGCAGCCAGGGAATGCTATTTTGCAAGCCTTCGGCTGCCACAACTACAAGCTGAGCCGACCGGTCCGAAACGCATCCACGCAATCACGCCCGACACAATAGTGTATTTTGACCCACGAATGGAACAAACTGAAAGGGTCGAACCCATTGAAGATCGGTACCCACTTGTCATTGGACCAACAGATTCACATGTAACCTATCTCGAATCCAACTTGCCCGAACAAGCACGCCGCGAGATCAGACAAGTCGTGACTAAGAACAAAGATCTTTTTGCATGGCAACCTGCCGATATGCCCGGAATTGACCCCAACTTTCTTTGTCACAAGCTCTCGGTATGCCGAGAGGCAAAACCAATCGCCCAAAGGAAGAGGAAAACGGGAGAAGAAAGGAAGAAAGCTATCGAAGAAGAGGTTACTAAGCTCTTAGACGCTGACTTCATTCGTGAGATTCATTATACGACCTGGCTAGCCAATGTGGTTATGGTTAAGAAATCAAACGGCAAATGGCGGATGTGCACCGACTACACAGATCTAAACAAGGCATGCCCCAAGGATGCTTATCCCCTGCCGAACATAGACCGATTGGTCGACGGCGCGGCCGACCATAAATTCTTGACCTTCCTCGATGCATATTCTGGATATAACCAAATCCGTATGTATCCTCGAGACGAAGATAAAACAACATTTGTCACCGAATCGGCCAACTACTACTACCAAGTGATGCCGTTCGACCTGAAAAATGCGGGAGCCACCTATCAACGGCTCATGGACAAGATCTTCCACGAACAGATTGGGAAAAACATGGAGATATACGTGGATGATATGGTCGTAAAGTCGGCTGAGACGCCCTCCCATGTAGCCGACTTGGCTGAAGTTTTCCAATCACTTCGAAGGCAACAAATGAGACTCAACCCTGACAAGTGCGTCTTTGGTGTTTCGGGTGGCAAATTATTGGGTTTCATGCTATCAAACTGAGGCATCGAAGCAAATCCAGAAAAATGCCAAGCCATCCTAGACATGAGAAGCCCTTCAAACCTCAAAGAAGTCCAAAAGTTGGCAGGCCGATTGACCTCCTTGTCTCGATTCCTACCCTGCATGGCCGAAATCTCCAATCCAATCATCGCCCTTCTGAAAAAAGCCAACTGGTTTCAGTGGACAGAAGAATGCGAAGCTTCCTTCCAGATGTTCAAACAACGCCTCGACACGCCTCCAATACTAGCCAAGCCAACTCCCAGCCAAGTAGTTCTCTACTTAACGATTTCTAGTGAGGCCATCAGTGCCGTTATGATACAGGAGAAAGACGGTCAACAATATCCCATATACTTTATTAGCCGAGTGCTACAAGACGCTGAACGTCGATATCAGTTATTGGAAAAGGTAGCCTTGAGTTTGATATACGCGGCCCGGCGACTTTGACAGTACTTCTAGAGCCACAGGGTGGTAGTCTGAACCGATTTCCCTGTTGCCAAGTTGTTGAGAAAATCGGAACTGGCAGGTCGTATGATGGCTTGGTCAATCGAGCTATCCGAATTCGATATCCACTTCGAGACTCGGGGTTCTATCAAATCACAGTGTTTAGCCAACTTCATCAACGAACTATCCCCTCCCGGACAGTTCGAAGAAAGCACATGGACCATGCATGTTGATGGATCTTCCAACCGTCAAGGCAGTGGAGCCGGCATCATATTGGAAAGTCCGTCTGGTATTACACTGGAACAATCTTTGCACTTCGGTTTCCGGGCATCTAACAACCAAGCCGAGTACGAAGCATTATTAGCAGGAATGTTGGCAACCGAGATGGGCGTCCGTAAGATCGTATGTTGGATAGATTCGAAGGTCATAACGGAGCAAGTTAATAACAATTTCCAAGTTAAAGACCCCAACCTTCTGAAGTACTACCACCTCTTTCGAGGCCTAAGTGGTCGTTTCGACGACGTCCAGGTTCGCCACACACCGCGCAACTGTAAAGAACGGGCCGACCAGTTGGCACGGCTAGCCAGCAGCCAAAAGTCAGGTCAACTCCGAGCAACTATACACCTTGAGCGCCCCAGCCCAAGCGTCGCGCAAGGATGCATGCCGGTTGATGAATCCCCCAAGACATGGATGACCGACATACTCGATTTTATCGTCCACGGCAAAGAGCCAGCCGATTCGTCCGAAGCAAAGAAGTTGAGGACACAAGCTGCATGGTATTCTGTCGTATCAGGCGAGCTTTACCGAAGGGGATTTTTCACCCCCTTGTTGAAATGTCTCGAGCATCAGCAAGCCAATTATGCCGTTTGTGAAGTTCACGAAGGCATTTGCGGATCTCATTCAAGAGGACGGACATTGGCCACCAAGATCTTGAGGGCCGGTTATTATTGGCCGACCCTAAAAACCGATTGTGCTGATTATGTGAAGAAATGTGCACAATACCAAAAGCATGGAAACCTCATACATGCCTCGGCCACCGAATTGCATAACATCAGCTCTCCTTGGCCGTTCGCCTTGTGGGGAATCGACATACTCGGCCCCTTCCCTGTCGCAAAAGGGCAAGTCAAGTTCCTCTTAGTAGTCGTGGACTACTTCACCAAATGGATAGAAGCCGAGTCGCTTGCTTCTATCTCGGCCGCTAACGTCCAAAAGTTTGTATGGAAGTACATAGTCACCCGCTTCGGCATCCCTTATGCTATCGTTTCCGACAATGGACTTCAAATCACCGATCAGAAGTTCAATTCTTTTCTCCAAAACCTGGGTATTCGGCATCGGTTCTCATCGGTTGAGCACCCGCAATCAAACGGACAAGCTGATTTGGCCGTTGGTCCCGCCCCACCACCTTGGGAAGTTGGTGGATTCCCGCGCACGCCGGTCAGGGTCTTATTCACAGTGGTTGCCGCCACTTGGTTCCTGATCAACGTGCGGATGTCTAGATCGTCCTCTTCATAATTCGCCATGATACCTGCACATCATTAGTCAAAATCAATGATAACGCAAGAATTTAAACAAGTAAGAAAGGTACTATACCAATCAATTCTTCAACTACGTCGGTCGATTCACACAATCGGACCAAAGGACGACATGGTAAAGGCCGAGGCAGATTCTCTAAAAAATTCAAACTCGCCCTCTCCTCTGGGGGAATTCGAGATTTGGACAGCGTGTCGTACTTCCTCGGCTTCCGAGTCCAGTACAACGGAAATAGTGATCTCCCTTCGGCATCGAAGAAATATTTGTTCCCTATGACCGGCCGAATCATCACCTTGATAAATCCCACTTTGAAATTCTTGTAGGAAGTGGTGAAAGGCTGTAACAGGCAATCACTATGCCGAACCAGTGACAACCACTTAACCTTCTTCGTAGGCCGAGACGAATAGAAATATAGGAATAGGTGCGGAGTGGGTTGGATGCCGAGAGCCAGACACAACTGTCTAAACCCTTGCATCGCCGCCCAAGTGTTTGGATGAAGTTGACTCGGTGCCACGTTCAGAAGTCGTAGTATACCCATAAAATAATCATCAAAAGGGAGAGTTTTCTTCAAATCCCGGAACATGTAATCATACACATAAAAGAACTGGTATTTGCACGACCCTTGGTTCAAGTACACGAAATCCGGATTCGGCCCTCCATCGCCTCGGCATGGCTGAAAGAAGATGGGAGAGGGTTCCTCTTCCTCGGGAAAGGTCAAGAATTTCACCGCTAATACGAAACGAACGATAGAGTTCTTATCGGTATATCGGCAATACACGCTGCCAACCTCCCCGTGCATCCACGAGTACCCAAGGGTCGCTATGGGAGCAAAATGCCTGGACGACCCACCACCCTTGCTCGGATGATCATCAGAGACTATCGTCGACGAAGAATCACTCCCACTCCGCGACCGTTCGGACCCGGAAACGGACTCATGATCCTCCCTATTGGAAGCCGAGGCCGATGCGGCGTCTCAGTCCGGCGACACTCGCAACCCAGAATCACCTGTGTCCCCAGAGGAGTCAATATGAACAACATTTACATCTGCCATTATGTACCTGAATGTTGAACTTGACCAATCTTCGCTGAAGAATACTCGAACACGGCAACTCAGTTGATCTAGGCTCGGAGCAAGCGATAAACGTGTATCTTTGGGGACCCCTCCCACACGCCTATTTATAGACGCTCCTTGCAACCATATCAAACGTCACGCCACTTCACGCACCGTTGGATCAATCAGATCCAAGGGCCCACAGCGCACAACCCTTTGAATTCCGCCAGCGGTTGTAACCCTTAGCATGTCATCAATGCCCAACGGTTACAACCCTTCGCATTCTGCTGAGCAGTTGTAACCCTTAGTATGTCATTAATACTCAACGGCTACAACCCTTCGCCTTCCCCCAAAGAGAACGTCGTTTCGTATCCCTAGAGCACACACATTTATAGCTACTACCTGAAACTAAATCATTATAGTTACCCTTTGCGTCGTCCTACTCCTTAAGGCTGGGGGGCTTGTGTACCGGAGGGATCCTATCGGTCACATGGACCAACACATGCCGTTTCGTCAGACACCCATGCGAACTAGAAACAGCCATGAACCTCCTCGTTAACATCGGCTCGACATCCAGCCGAAGGCGGAGAAGAGTTCGATAGCAACCTCGGCCCGGTCGATGACCGATAAGAATAGCACCACGATGCGTTTCCAGGCGTTGCGTATCGGCTTGGGCGGATTCCGATAGGGTTTGGATAGCCGAACAAATGCATCTCGATCCAGCCAACGGCCGAACACACCTAGTAACCCAAGCACTTACCTGTCGGCTCGGCAACGAGCCGAAGGGCAAAAGCAGATTACAACAATGATCATGATTAGCAAGGACAAGTACATAATTAAGGCATAACCAGCCGATTAACATTGTATTACCTAATTTGGTAAAGGTTAGAGACGGCCCACCATGCTCAGGCCCATGTCAGGTATTATAAATAGATCACACGTAACAAAGTATGTCATTGTTCATTAATTATCCTAGAAAATCGTGTCTGTGCTGATTTGAGCGTCGGAGTGTCTTTTGCAAGTACATCCCCCCTCCGAAGAATCCACCAGAAGCATCCGTTCGGCCCTTCACCACTCAGAAGACTGCAAGTGTACCGTCAGACAGATACAGAATTGTAGTAGTTGAATAATTCATAATAGATAAATTAAGAAAAATTTAATTAATACTACATTAAAACATGAGAACATCATTTGACATGTTTTTTTAAATATTTAATTAATAGATAAATTAAGAAAAATTTAATTAATACTACATTGAATGACGAGAACATCATTTGACATGTTTTTTTAAATATTAAAATTACAGTCATTAAATATTTAAAGAAGCATCGTTCAACTTTAAATACTATGTACAATGAATTTTTTAACTTTGATAATAATTAAGTTTTTTTTATTGCATTAATAATTAGCCTTAATAGACACATAAAAACTAAGTTTTAATTGGTTCACAATTAAATTTTTGTATGCATAAGAATTATATATATATATATATATATATATATATATATATATATATATATAATTTTATATTTATATATATATATATATACATTATAATATTTATTTTTTACAATACATATATAAAGAAATTATTCTTACCACAATTCACTTATGCATTGCACTGACATTTATGATAATTTTATTGTTGTAATATGTCTTATCCATTATGTGTAACCTTTAATGTTCTGAAGTTTGTGATTTTAATACAGATCATAAAATTTATCACAATAGTTTGAATGACCTATTGAAGAAAGAATTTAGAAAGGTTTGATTAAGAAGTATTAACACAAAAATGATTATAGAACTATGGCTGATTTTGCTCTATAAGTTTATTTTTTTTCCAATGAATTTGCCTTAAATCATTTGCACAAGAATTTCAAAATGAAATATTTATTTCTTCTAAGGAGATAAGTGTCGATTGATTCTCCTTATTACATACTTTTTAAACTAATTTTACATTATCTTTTAACAGTAAAAGAAATTAAGGAAATTTGAATATGTATATATATAATTACTCTCCTTGTAAGAAAAATGCATAAATTTATATACATATATAAATAATTTTTGAATATATTTTAATTTCAAAATGTTCGAGTGTTCTGTTTTGAAACTGAATTCAACATGAAAACAGGCCCAGATTAAAAGGTAAAACAGTCACAACCCAATTAAAAACGAGTCAAACTGTTGGGCTTCTTTTTCTTGTAAATTTGCTCACACTGAAGGTTGATGATATATACACCTCCTTTTTTCTATATGTACACCTCTTTTTAAAAAAATAATTAAATTTTTAAAATAATTATTTTAAAAAAATTTTAATCCTAAAACATTTTATTTAGTACCTTTTTTTACACGTTTTCCTTTTTTTTTTTTTTTTTTTTTTTTTTTTTTAATTTTTACATGTACTCTGTTATCTTTCTTTCACCCGACCTATTTTGTTAATATGTGAAAATTGAAAAAGAATAAAAAGTGTATGAAAAAAAGAAAGTAACAAATTAAAAGTTGAAGGTATAAAATTAGAAAAATTAAAAAAAAATATAATATTTTATAATTTTTTTTAAAAGATAAAGGAGGTGTACTTGTAAAAAAATGGAGGTGTATATGTCACGAGCCCACACTGAATCCAAACTCTTGGGGAGGCCCAGGCCCAAAATTCATAGCCTTCAGTGACTCGACCCATTAGTATGATTTTAATACTTAAATATACTTTTCATTATTTTTTAACTGATAAATTTTCTTTTACAATTGATGTTTTAATTATTATTATTATTATTATTATTATTATTATTATTATTATTATTATCATTATTATTATTAAGTCTTTCCGTAAGTGCTTTTACTTAAAAAATTTAAATTCTCATTTTTTATTATCAAAATCTTTGCGATATAGATTTATTAAGTTATTTTAAATTTTCTTCTAATCAAAATTCGTCGATCAATTTAGTTCTTAAAATTGGAAAGTTGTGATGTGGTGCTTTGGTCTCTAAATATACGAATCTATATACATATTGATTCTCAAAATGATAAAATAATTTTTTCATTGGTCAGTGTTAATGAAATATAACAAAATAATATTACTTATAAGCTCTTTTATAAAAGTTCATCTAAACATACCCAATATATATATATAAAATTTTATCATCCATTTAAATATTTAACATGGAAGCCTTAATAGTTCGTTTGATATTAATGAAATATTGAAGAAATAGTGTGGGGAGTGAAGAAATAGGTAAAAAAATAATAATAAGAGAGGTATGTTTGAAATAAGAAAGAAATAAAAAGTGTGGATCTTGTACCTTTAAATTTCTTCGCCAAAATGATTAGAAATGAATAGTATATATGGTGATTTAAAAAAAAAAAAAAAAGAGATTAAAACATTGTTTAACCGATTAAATTGTACAAATTGAATGTAAAAGGCATCACAGGCAATGCATAATCGATTGGGAAAAATATTAATAAATTGTTTTGTATATTTTATTTTATTTTATTTCTCTCTTTCATATTTTTTTTCCTTAAACTAAACACTTTTCTTTAGTGTTAAACTAAACATTTTTATTTTCATTATATTTCTCATTTACTTTATTTACGCATTTTTCTCTTCTCTCAATTTTCATCTACTTTATTTATCAACACTGTGGGATGTGAAAGTTATAAAGCAGTTATATTACAATTTATTTTTGAAAAACAATAATTTAGTAGTTAAATTAATTAAGTGAAATTACCAAGTTATCATCTACTTAAAAAATGAATTATGCAGTTATCATAATAAATAAATAATAAAAATATCTTAAAATTTGTGTACACAAAAATAATGAAAATCATTTTTATATATTGTTATAAATATTTTTTTTTGTCACACAGAACAATTTTTTTTTTCATAAATGATTTGGGGTTTTGAAAAAAACAGTGAATTCATGGATAAATGTTAGAATAA